GGATGGATGGATGGATGGAGGGATGGAGGGATGGATGGATGGATGGAGGGATGGATGGATGGATGAATGGAGGGATGGATGGATGGATGGATGGATGCACCAAGTGTAAGCTTGTAATTCCTGAATGCTCCTCAGACAGGTGGAGAGTGTGAATGGGGCAGTTCACCTGTCGAACTTCAACACAGGTGTGTCAGGAGAGCTCAGCGAGTTGACGCCCATGAAGCTCTTCTCCACTGCTCAGTGATTACGGAGGTTTAGGGGGCGGTTTTGTTTTTGCACGTTTGATGTTACAGACTATGCATTCAGTGTCAAGTTACAAAACGTGTCCATACAGTATGAACAATAAACAGCTGGAAAACAGCTGGCTTTAGAAGTACAGAAAATAAATGATGTTCCGGATGCCTGCAAAAATTTGGAGACTTTTTTGAGGCAGTATTTATTTTATGATTTCTTTTTTATGTGATCAAAATTCATGCGACGCAGATGCATGGCCTTAAAACTTGCATCGGAACATCAAGAACACCAGGAACGTTTACAGATATTCTGGAAGTTTCACCATAAATCTTCACAGTTTTGTAGAACAAAGTGAGAAACGGGCTTGAATGTCCATGGAGGTTGTTGTCAGGCATGTGGTGACAGATTTCATCATCACACTGTTCAACAATACTAGTGAAAGTGCATGTTTTAATAATAATGTGCAGCTCTTTTCTTTACAGGAATGTTCAAAAAGTCCAAGACGACCATCTGACACTCGTAAATTAGAGTTAATGCACCAATAAAAAGATTCAAGGAGCTGTTTGCTCCCAGAACAAATGCTTTGGTCTAAATCTAAGTGTACAGATAAACTGACACTTGGGCCTTTAGGCCTGGCACTATTTACTTGAACAACTTGCACACCAGATCCTGTACATCCAAATACAATTACCACTTCTTTTTGCTCTTCGTTGGGGCAAAACTTGTTTGTTGTCTGAATACAGTTTAACCTTATTCTTGCAGTAGTACATGTGTATAGGAACCACCATTCCCCCTCCCTCTCCTAAAAGTACTTAAACATGGTGGTGCTGGTCAGACACCCTGGATTGTTTGCGGTGACATGATTTGTTGTTGTTAAATTTACTGAGCCACCGTGTTACGATGTGCCGCTCACTTTATAGGAAGGTGGCTCCCGCTGCCATGAACAGCAAACGTTCATTCCAGTAAAAGAATTTGGGGCTTAAAGAAAATGTCAAACATGTAAACTGTCATTAAAATTCCTGCTTAAATTTAGTAACTTCAATAAAATATATTTTATGTATGAAAATGTAACAAACATGAGTGAATAATCAAAACAAAGTGTCAGAGCTCATAAATCTGAGCTCTCGTGTGGTCGATGGGAACTAAAAGGCTCATGTTGCATCCCAGTGAAAGAGCCTGAGGTTACCATGGCAACCAGAGAGGCATTGTTCTGCTAATTGTCCATCACTCAAGATGGAGGCTAATGAGAGTGTGAGCTGAGCAGGAGACACGACTGGTGTAAAAGAACAAACAATTTAAAATCTCGCACTAGCTCCAAAGAAGCAGCTGAGTTTTTAGAAACAAAAACACACACACAAAAAAAACCCAAATATTTTAACATAGATAGATAGATAGATAGATAGATAGATAGATAGATAGATAGATAGATAGATAGATAGATAGATAGATATAGATATAGATATAGATATATAGATACTTTGTGTATATATATCATATATATATATATATATATATATCATATATATATATCTATAGATATATCTATATCTACAGATATATCTAGATATATGTAGATATAGATATATCTATATATATATCAATATATCTATATTGATATATAGATATCTATATATAGATATATAGACAGAGTACATATAGAGAGAGAGAATATTTGTATTTTATATATGCATGCAGCCTGCAAAAGAAAAGTTGGTAAAGATGATGGATTTTTGGATGGTTCGATCGATTGTCGGATAAATGGATGGATGGATGGATGGATAGATGATGGATGGATGAATTGTCTGATAGATTATTGAATGAATTGATGGATGCATTGTTGGATCATTGGATGGATGGATTATTGAATAGATGGATGAATAGATGATGGATTCATGGATGGATGGATAGAGGATGGATGGATTGTTGGATATATGGATTGTTGGATATATGGATGGATGGATGGATGGATGGATGGATGTACTCCTCACCGATCAATACTTTCAATGTTTCATTTTATCCCACATGTGAAGGTAGTTAACTAAAGCCACATGAATTGAACAGATTTATAAAAACAAAAAATGTTAAACCGTGCACTGTTGTAGAAAGTCATAATAACTCTAATTGAAAAGTTTAATTTATTTTTACTTTATCTTTTGAATCTTATTGAATCATACTTAGTTGTACTGTAATTGTCAAATTATTTTAGAGGAGAGACCCACAAGCTTGATACTTTGTTTTTTAATATTAACCAGTATCTGTAAATGTAGTTAGAGCAGCCACAACGACTTCATCAAGCATCAAAAAGTGATTGTAGAAAGTGAAAATACCTCTTCTAGCTGGCAGGCCTTGATAATGGAGGTGTAGCGGTACTCATCGTAGGTCAAACCAAACAGGATGTTGTCCCGAATGGTCCCTGGTATGATCCATGACGTCTGTGATGAATAAGAGATCCTCCCGCTGTGTCTGACTGTACCCTCTGATGGCACCAGCTCTCCCAGGATCATCATGAGCAGAGAACTCTGAAGAACAGAAAAAAACATGGACGCACTTCGGCCACATCGCACTCCGAAGTACTAGCCTACCCCTACCCTCGGGTTTTGATTCCATATGATCGGGTCTCTCTTATAAATGAGTCCCCGAGGCTTAATGGGATTAATCTGTAGAGATAAAGGTTGACTGTGGGGAAAAGGTTAAATCATTCCACAACAAACTAATACACTGCCTCAAGAATCTGAATCAAGCATGTACTTTTTTAATTAACAGGCACAGCATCACTGTGGCCATATGTGCCAGCTTTGCAACAGATAACAATATTTGATGCTTGTTGAGGAAGATCTCCTGGAAACAAAAGAACTCCTCAGGTTAAGTATTACAGTAATTATTGTGACAAAACAATTTCCTAACTGAGGAAAACAAGTCTTCTCCTGAAAAATCTTTTTACGATGGTGAGGAATCTCTACAACTCACCATTCCTCACCATCGTAAAGCAAGTCGGGACATCCCTACCCCCTGTGTGAACGTGAAGGGGTGAACTTCAATACACAAAAGCTTTGTGATCACACCTAGTTATCAGCAAAGATGCATCATGGTGGCAACTTTCCAGATTCAGTCTAACAGTCACACACTTTCTTTTGTTTTCTGTGTAACAAGCAATTTTTCTTCAGTTTACCTTTCCTGAGCCAGTAGATCCAGCCACTGCAAGCATGGTGCCTTTGTCCAGGCACAGGCTGATGTTTCTGAGGACAGGCGTGACGTACAAGTTGGTGAAAAAGAGTCCGCTGTCCCCATTCAGGTGTCCGTTGTTTTTGTTCTCCAGCTTGATCTTCTCAAAGAGCTCCACTATCCCCTGCAGAGAGAGTCACAGTCAAAGGCCCCATTCACAATATTTCTTTTGTTCGGTCCAAGTCGGTCACAACTTGAACAAAATTGTCAACAAGTCCACACTGGTAGGAAGAACGTTTGAACTACTGACATTTAAAAATGCAAACAAAATGTAATCAACAGAACAACAAGAACATCACAATTTAATGGTGACAAGGTCGGGGTTACCCAAAAAGAACAAACAAACAACAACAAAACAGAAGAGTACTCAACAGTTTCATGGTTGTATTGGTTTCTAGAGCACAATGTGATTTTTGGTATGTACAAAGTACGCAGCTACGTCGTTTTTGAAAAGCTCTGTATTTGGAGTACACATGTAAAGGTACATCACTACCAGAATCTTTAAAGATCTCAAAAGTTCTCACCATTCTTTCAACCTTTATTTCTACAGGTTAGTCTCACTGAGCCACGAGGACTCGTTTAAAGAGAGACCTGATTTTAACAAAGAACACTGATGAGCTACAGCAACAATAGACAATCATATAAAAAGCAGATAAAATGAAAAATAAATAGAAGAAATGAAATGAAAAATGAAACAAAAGCAGCTACATTATAAAGCAGTGTAGAAAACTAAAACAGGAGCATGTCTGCATTGGTCCCTGCCAGGAGTCCAACAGATTCTTAAAACCACTTAGAGAGGTCAAGGTCGAGAGCTTCAGATCTTTTTACAAGATATTCCAGGAAACAGGAGCGGAGTAGGAGAAGGTCCTTTTGTCTAGTTCAGTCCTCATTGAGGGAACACTGCAGGTAATGATGTCCTGAGAGCGTACGCTGTAGCTGCACTCACACAGAGACATGTAGGAGGAGATGTATGAAGGCAGCAGACCAGGAAGTGATTTAAAGATGAAGATGTACCAGTGAGAGAGTCTGTGTGAAGTTAATGGTGACCAGTTAACCAGTGAATACTGGGTGCAGTGGTGGGTACGGTAGTTACGGCCAGTTATGAATCTTAGTTCACCATGATAGACAGCATCCAACATCTGCAGCATCCAACATCTGCAGCATCCAACATCTGCAGGGTTCTTGTAGGAGCGTTCATGTAAATAATGTCACCGTGATCAATTGAGGGAAGGAAAGTCACAGATACAAGGTGTTTCCTAACATTCAGGGTTAGACAGGATCTGTTTCTGAAAAACAAACCCAGTTTAACTTTCAGTTTCTTTATCAAGTTTTCCACATGGAGCTTAAAAGACCAGAACTCTTACAGTGCCCTCGAGCGTCCATGGACATTGCTCACTGCTATCATCGTCCCCCCTCTGCATAATGTCCATGTCACTATGTGCTGTTTGTGCGAGGTGTTTTTTAATATTAGCGTTTTTCTTCTCAGCCAAGAAGAAAAGTCTGCTAGGAATTGTTTTGCCTCCAATCTTACATGTGTCCAGTTGCACTACTTTTTGTCTGTCTAAATACAAAGTAGATCTCACTTGTAAATGAGTCTTCTAGGCTCAATGTGACTTATCTGTCTAAATAAAGGTTGAATGAATGAATCTTACTAGAAAGATCAACAAGAGAACCGCATACAACACATAATTTGCCTGTTGCCAAACTACTATGCAACAATCTAAAGCAATGGTCTGGACAAGCAAAGTTTTGTATAACTTTTCACCTTGATTTATGACCTTGACCTTGGAGCTGGGGTGATGAAAAGTGTTCATAAAACTTCATATAGTGACAGTGCATACGTAAATAAAGTTTTGTTTGTTTTAGTAAGGGTTTGTAAGGACATTCTTTTAGCAAATGACTTTGGTCAGTTTGTGATCCTTGTACTCCTGGACCTTACCGCTGCTTTTTACACTGTTGACCACAGTATCCTTTTATTGCAGTTGGAACACTGGGTTGGGATTACAGGTGCAGACTTAGCATGGCTCCATTTTTATCTGAGTGACAGGGGCTTTTGTGTTAATGTTGGTAACATTTTATCTGCTTCAGCATCTCTTTCCTGCGGGGTTCCGCAGGGTTCAGTTCTTATACCCCTTCTGTTTTCATTGTATCTGCTCCCTTTGGGGTCTATCCTGAGGAAACATGGTCTTCCTTTTTATTGCTATGCTGATGATTGTCAGCTTTATCTGCAATTTAAAACCCAGTGGTTCTTGTTCCATTCACCCTCTGTTAAAATGTCTTGATGACATTAAGGTATGGATGGCTTCAAAATTTTCAAGTTTTAACCATCAGAAAACTGAAGTTATTGTGTTTAGCCCTAGCTCCACTGCTGTCTCTGTTCCTGTAAGCCTCGACTCTCTTGAGCCATACCTTAAGCAGTCTGTTACAAATCTGTGGATGGTTAGACTTTGATTTTAAGTTTAGTAAACAGATTAACTCTGTTCTGCAGAAAAGCTTCTTCCAGTTAAGCTTAAGTCAGTTTTGTCAAGATCTGGCCTTGAAAAATAGTCCATGCCTTTATTACAACCCAACTAGACTACTGTAACACTCTTTGTGGTGGGGTCAGTCAGGTCTCCCTTTCACATCTCCGGCTCATCCAAAATGTTGTAGCTCGTCTATTAACAGGAACTCATAGGTCTGATCATATTTCACCAGTTTTATCCTCCCTTCACTGGTACCCTGTATGTACCAGAATTCCATTCATCCATCTATCCATCCATCCATTATCTATACCTGCTTCTTCTGTTTCGGGTCATGGGGGTCACTGGTGCCCATGTCCAGTCATCACTATGTGAGAGGCGGTGGACACCTGAACAGGTCGCAAGTCATCACACATCCCTGAGGGGAGCCAGTGCTGAGGGTTATGGTGGATGAGAAGTTGTGGGTCCTCACAGACTGCAGTCTGTTTAAGAAGTCCAGGACCCAGTTGCATAGGGAGGGGCTTAGTCCTACTATGAGTAGTTTGTCCATCAGGGTCTGGGGAATTATGGTGTTGAAGGCAGATGTGAAGTTCACAAAGAGCATATGGATGAAGGAGTCTTTCTGCTCCAGGTGGGTGAGAGCAGTGTGGACCACAGAGGAGATGGCGTCCTCTGTTGATCGATTCTTGAGGTATGCATACTATGAGGGTCCTCGCTGATATCCATGGTAGCTCTGATGTGGGTCATGACCAGTCTTTTGAAGCATTTGGTGACTATTGGAGTAAGGGCTACTGGCCAGTAGTCATTCAGACCAATCGCTACAGAGCTTTTAGAAACTGGGATGGTGATGGTGGTCTTCAGGCAGGTGGGAACAGATGCCAGGGTGAGGGAGGAGTTTAAGATGTCTGCCAGCACCTCGCAGAGCTGATTGGCACAGTCTGTCAGCACCTTCACTGGGATGTTGTCTGGGCCATTTGCTTTATGTGAATTAATCCTCCCGAACGTACTCCTTACTTCTGCTGAGGTCACGCTTAGGAACTCCTCTTCCGGTGGTGAGGTGAGTCTGGTGCTGGGTGTCTGTTTGGGTCTTCAAAGCATTTTTTAGTGTTTAGTTTTCTGCTTTAGATTTGATTTTGGTGTTTATTTCTTGTGGTTTTTAGTTCCTGTATTGGTCTTTCTGTTCAGTTTGTGTTTCCAGCCTTTGTCAGAGTTTTTTCAATGTTAGCCTCTGCTCCTCAGTCTGGCCACGCCCACTTACACCTGTTCCCTATGCTTGGTCCCAGCTGCAGTCATCGCTGCACTGTTTAGTCTATTTGCACTGGAGTTTCTGTCAGGTATCGTTGGTTTTCATGGCATATCCCTGGTTTCCTTTCACCTCATTGAATCTCTTTTTTAATTTGTTTGTTTATATAAAGTTTTTAAGCTTTTTTTTTAGCTCCTTGTCCTAAGCTGACTTTTTGGTTCCAACCTCTTTTACTTGGACATTCACTTTTTAATTGATTGTTGTATCCCATATCATTTGTAAGTTTATATTACTGATTTTGTTTACTGAACTCATTGTTTAAGGGCTTGTGGGTGTCCGTCCTACTGTGCTTGTTTACAGGGAATTTTCAAAGACAGAGGTGATCTTGGTGTCTCACAAAGGTCCTATTTTGTCTCATCTGTCATCACAAACCATCAGGACAAATAAAAGGGTGATGCAGCTCACAGTTAAAAAACGAGGAACCCTCCATGACTCGGCCACTTGTTCTCTGAGCTTTGTGGCATTTTATGGGTCACTGTTCCTTGTTCAGGTTTGTCTGCGAGTCTCATTCTGACGTAGGAACAGCTTCCAGTAAAGAAAGACATCAGCCCCCCTCTGAAAATGTGAGTAAATGGCACATTCCAGGAAGAGGAGAAGGCGAGAGGAGATTTTGGGAATTAGGAGATGAACACAGAGTTTCAAAGGGAGGACCAGAATGTTCCCAACTAAGTGTGGTGACCACACAAGGCTAATTAATGATGCATCTCGGGGAGAAAAGCCTTGATCTGCGCTCATTCTCTCACGGTATTGGGTGATGAATGAATCACACCTGTTAGATTAGGTTTACAGCTTTGGCCTATAGCCAATAAACAACTATCCTCTGTCAGTGAAGGTGAGCAATTAACTTTTATTCCTGCACTGCAAGGTGAATTTAGGGATTGGCCTTGTGCAAACATACTCTTTAAATATTATGGCTAATATACTGCAGCATGACGTGATTTAGGTGGTTTGACTTAGATAATATCTGAATACCCAACTTCACTGATGTAGGGCAGATATTTTTTAAATCATATTTTCAAGCAACAACTAAATTCAGAAATGTGTTATGATCACATATGAATTACACCATTAATTAAACAAGGCTGCATTCAACACTTTATTGTAGATGGCTTTTTTTAAGCTTTGTGTTAAAGCTCTGATTAAAATTTCAACGTCGTTATTGTACATGTTTTGTGTCACAGCGTGAGTGTCATCACAGCAGCAAAAAAAAAATCTTTCAGAGAGATGCAAAAACCTAATAAAAAATCACAGTTATGAAGCTTTGAGTTGCTATAACAAGATAATTGTAGGTTCCATGAAACAGGATTTGTAGAAACTTGTGCTCTGATCTGAAGATTTATTTAGTTTTGACAGACGAACACAAACCTCATCCCAGGATGCAGACACGTTGACAAGCTCCAGTCCAACAGTGGTTAGGTTGTAATCCAGCATCATGTACTCCTCCTTCAGCAAGAAATCCTACAGAAGGACACGGGGGGGGGGGGGGGGGGGGGGTGTTCCATTCAAATCACATCTTCTTAGTTCCTTTAAAAGTAAGAAACCTGAGACTCACCCCCTGCAGCCACTTTAAACCTTTTTAATTGCCATCCTATTCACTGCAGGCCAGTATAACATTAGGACAGTACTCAGTTCCTAATGTAAAAATACTTAACTTAACACACCGACAGTACTACCATATACTAAAGACATGTACATAAAACAATGCTACACAACGAGATTCACCTCTGTCATGATGCAAACTTAAATTTGGTTTTGATTTAATGTTTCATGTTTCACGATACAGTTTTGAGAAAGGACCGCAAAGACGACACTGGGTGCCGTTCAAAAACCACCAGTCAAACCAGACACATCCTGCTAGGATGTGCTGACATTAATAAACAAGTGGTGAGCAAGAGGTACATCGATGTCCCCGTCCCTGAAGAATTTGAACAGTGAATGTTTGTAGTTTTTGAGATGAGTGTTTTTCTGGACATGGATTGAACAGAAAGCAAGTAAACTTGAATGTTTTTGGTACAAGATATTCAAGTTGGTAGAAGTTACAGTGTTGAAGAACTGCTGGTTTTTTTTTTGTTTGTTTGTTTTTCTTGTTTGAGGCAGATAAGAATGACGGATCCTGGCAAGTGGACGGTGTAATTTTATCCACCACCCGGTGAAAGGGTGGAGCCGGGGGTAATGGTAGCCTTGTCCACCATAGATTAATCTTCAGCCACCTCAGTTGTTTGAGTAACTGATTGGCAGGCCGTAGACTGAGGAAGTCCTCTGGATTGGGGATGAAACTTAAAGAAACTGATCCAGATGACACAATTTAACCTTTTTTGTTGTTTGAGTAACTATATCAGTGGTGTTCAATACGTCGATCATGATCTACCGGTCGATAGCAAAGGTAATATGAATAGATTGCATGGCATTAAAACAATAGACATCAGCCTATCATCCATCCTCTCTATGAAATTTGACACTTGATTGACATACATGGCAGCCAATCTGAGACCTGACCTTTTCTGACATGGGTCACCATGCATGGATGCAGAGCAGATCTTCATGATTTAACCCCCAGGAGCAACTTGGGATAAGTTGGTCTATCCAAGGCCAAATGGGGGAGCCAATTTCAGATAAACAACAATTGTTTTGGGACAGGCCGACTACTGATTTCTCGTCTGCCTCCATAGTTTCTGCTGGTTTACTCAGTGGCGAATCCAAACAGCCAGATTTGTGGTCATTCTGACGGTCCGTGCTTGTAGCCTTCTGGAAGGCCGGTTCCTTCATGCCAGCGAGTTCTAGGAGTCGCAAGTGGCCTGCGATTCTCAGAAATTGTGTCCAGCTTATGGTTTAGCTCACAAAGCATTTAAGTCTGAGTGCTCAAAGCACGGTGCAATCCTTCACATAAGGTAGGCAGCCTCACCATTGCCAAAACTGCTGCCGACGTCTTTTTAATTTGTCGATATCCCAGGTAACTGCTGATTCCAAAAAGCAGAAACCCTGTTATCATAAATCCAATAATGTACGCATCTTCAACGTCCTCAGCGTCCTCAATGTTTTTTGCCCTGCTTCCCACAGGAAGGAGGTTAAGGAGCATTAAGTGTAGAACCACTAAACTGAGGAACAGCTTCTACCCTGATGCTGTTAGACTCATGAATCTCTAACCAGAATAATCACTGTGAAAAATCACATCATGTTGCTGCTGATCTGTTTTATGTTGCTGCTGATCTGTTTCATGTTGCTGCTGATCTGTTTCATGTTGCTGCTGATCTGTTTCATGTTGATGTGTTCATTCGTGCTCATCTGCTCACACAGACTCATGTTCATGTTTGTGCTGATGTTCAGTATAATGTTTTTATGCTACTAGTGCTTAGTGTATTTTTATTAATGTTTTTCTTAGTTCATATCTTAGATCTTATTACTGTATTTATTTTACATTTTAATACGTTTGTTGGATGGAACTGGGACCCTGTGCACATAATTTCGTTCCACCACATCACAGGTGTCAAAGTCCAGGCCTCGAGAGCCGGAGTCCTGCAACTTTTAGATGTGTCTCTGATGCCACACAGCTGAATCAAATAAGGAGGTCATTAGCAGGACTTTGGAGAACTTGACTGTACTGAGAAGCTAATTTAGTCATATGATTCCGCTGTGTGGCATCAAAGACGCATCTAAAAGTTGCAGGACTCCGGCCCTCGAGGCCTGGAGTTTGACACCCCTGCACCACATGTACCACATGCGGTGCGAATGACAAACAAAGAACCTTGAAACCTTGTAACAGACAATACAAACAGGCACATCATCTTCCATACACCCTAGGAATTCATGATATGCCTGCCACATGGATGCCCTGCCACATGTGCCATGTGTCACACTGTTCTGGAAGTAGCTGTGGATTTTCTGGCCATGTGCATGCTTTACTTCTAAGATTCTCTGGGACAGCTTGGCCCTCGCTGTTCTCAGTGCTGACTGGTCACCTGCTTTGAGTGTGGAGTCTGGGCCCTCAGCAGTGCACGCATCTCTGAAGCCATCCATGGCTTCTGGTTGGATCTGGTAGTGATGGTTTTAGTGGTGGTGATGTCACCAATTCATTTGCTGTCCTCCTCAGTCCACTTTGTTTCAAACAGACTCTGACCGTTATGACCTTTGACCGTGGAGTTCACCTCTGGTCTCTTCAGAAGTTGTTCTTGACTCTCTGGTTAGCATTATGTGTGTCTACTTATTGTGGACATGTCCAGAGAAGTTGTCTCCAGTCCTGTGGACGATAACCTTCTGAATAATGTGAGCAGTTGTGGTCAGCCAAACATCAAGCTGATGGAGATGCTCTGATTACCTTCAACATGATGTCAATCTCTTGATGTCTTTCTGAGCTCCTGAGACACAGTGCTCAGCTTCCTGTGCTTCATGTGCAGTGTGTTACACACCATGATACCAAACAGCCATGTGACTACCTGTCACCCTTTAAACACACTGATTGATTACAGACTGACTTCAGACGGACTTCAGACGGACTTCAGACTGACTTCAGACTGACTTCAGGCTGATTACAGACTGATTACAAACTGACTTCAGACCGATTACAGACTGACTTCAGGCTGACTTCAGGCTGACTTCAGACCGATTACAGACTGACTTCAGACTGACTTCAGACTGACTTCAGGCTGACTTCAGGCTGATTACAGACTGATTACAAACTGACTTCAGACCGATTACAAACTGACTTCAGGCTGACTTCAGGCTTACTACAGACTGATTACAGTCTGACATCAGACTCATTACAGACTGACTTCAGACTGACTTCAGGCTTACTACAGACTGACTTCAGGCTGATTACAGACTGACTGCAGACCAACTACAGACTGATTACAAACTGACTTCAGACAGATTACAGACTGACTGTAGACCAACTACAGACTGATTACAAACTGACTTCAGACAGATTACAGACTGACTTCATTCAGGCTGATTACAGACTGATTACAGTCTGACATCAGACTCATTACAGACTGACTTCAGACTGACTTCAGACTGACTTCAGACTGATTACAGACTGACTGCAGACCAACTACAGACTGATTACAGACTGATTACAAACTGACTTCAGACCGATTACAGACTGACATCAGATTCATTACAGACTGACTTCAGGCTTACTACAGACTGATTACAGACTGACTTCAGGTTGACCAGGCTTACTACAGACTGATTACAGACTGACTGCAGATCAACTACAGATTGATTACAGACTGACATCAGACTCATTACAGACTGACTTCAGACCGATTACAGACTGACATCAGATTCATTACAGACTGACTTCCGACTGACTTCAGGCTTACTACAGACTGATTACAGACTGACTTCCGACTGACTTCAGGCTTACTACAGACTGATTACAGACTGACTTCAGAATGACTGCAGACCAACTACAGACTGATTACAGACTGACTTCACACTGAAGATACCCAGAAGGCTGATGACAGGACACACCTGAGTCTAGCATGTCTCTGTGGTCAGATTAGACCAGTTTCATTTGTTTTTTTAAAAACAATTATTGTTGATGTTATTATTTTGTCCTTTGGACATATTTTGGGTTTTGGTGAACTATTTAACATCTGACTTATAAATGTAAACTTGTAAATTCAAGATAACAAAATGAACCAAAATGTAAAAACAGTTCCAGGTTTCTTTAGTTGATTTTTAGTATTTGATTGCCTCTCTTGAACAAAAGGGTTTAGTGGATCCACCTACCTCAATCTTTTTGACCAGTGCCAGCGTGTCGTACCACATTTGGATGGAGCCTGGCAGCTGGCGGGTAAGCGTCATACGAAGCACTATGCAGTAGGAGGCTGTGGTGAAAATTCGACGCAGGATAATGCCTTTGCTGACTGCATACGGCACTATGGCTGAGATGATGACTAAGATGGCAGAGAAGAAGTACGAGGCACTGTAGAAATACCGCAGAGAGCCAATCTTTCTAGTTAGTGTCATTTCATCCCTGAGGAGACAAAAGATCAGTGACAAGCGATGATTCGGTCTTTAATCACGATACAATGTGATTCAACATGAGTTTGATTGAGCACATTGAGATTTAATGCAACATAATACAACAAAGCAACATGATGGTCCTATGTAAGTCATTAGACCATTTAATTTAAAATAACCAAGCTTTTTCATAAAACTGACTCGCAATCAATAAATATTAGACAAAAACAGTTTTACTGCTAAATTCAACGTGCCAGTTTAATGTGTTTTAGTAATATAGCAATGAGAAGCAAAACGGATTTTAGACATTATTAATAATAAAATTCAGCTTTTTGTGTCTACAAGTCACATTGCTTTAAACACATTTTACGAGTGTTTGCTGCTGTTCAATATAGCGCAGTTGCAGTACTTCTCTTGAACTGCAGGTGGCACTAAACAGAAAACAATACAGCTAAACAGCAGGAGGTGCAGCCAGAAGAAGAGTTGTTTTCTGTATGTCATGAAAGGTAATCTGCAGAATGACATTTTAACTTTTTTTCCCGGTGGATCCCTGTGTGTAGAAACAATTGTGCTGCTGACTTTTAATTATCGAATCAGATTTAATTATCAAATCAGATTTTATTGGTATAAAGCAGGGTGTCCAGGCTTTTTCATCATTGAGCTGGGTTGAATCCCCAGTAGGACCCGGGGTCTTTCTGTGTGCAGTTTGCATGTTCTTCTCGTGCTTGCGTGGGTTTTCTCTGAGTACTCCGGATTCCTCCCACAGACCAAAAACATGCATGTTGGGCTGCCTTCAGGTCCAGGCCTCCCTTACAAAAGATCTGTGATGTCACGAGGATCCACCTGGTTAAATAAAGGGTCATTTGGACAGCAGCCACCTGGAGTGTGCATGTGCCACTTCACACTTGGAGCATCTCACACCTTCGTGTGGGGTTCCCCTGAAAATCTTCACTCTGAGACCTGGATTCTGAGACCATAACATTTGACCTTGATTTGTGACCTTGACCTTGAAGCCGGGGTGAAGAAAAGATTACATGACAAGCTGTGTAGTTTGATGTATGAAGTTTCATTAAATTATCAGGATCGGATCAGAAGTTAAGAGCCAAAGATCTTGTTTGGGCTTTGACCTTGATTTGTGACCTTCACCCTGAAGCTGGGCTGATGAAAAGTGTACGTGACACTCCGCCTAGTGATGATGCATATGTGCACCAAGGAGCGGATCAAAAGTTACGGGTGAGACAACAGAAAGTTTATGGACGGTCAGACTAAAAGGGAAAACGCCGACCTATTGACGAGTGTATAGAAATTATTCTGCAACATCTGTTCACCTGTCAATAAAAATAACAAATCAATGGTATAATATGACATAAACACTCACTGTCTGATGTTCTTGATGATGGTCTCCATCACCTCCTCCCAGCCGTACGCCTTCACAGAATGAATGTTCTCCACAATCTCTGATGTCAGAGCCAGACGGCGGCTGATCAGCCCGGCTCGCTTCACCCTGTCCACAGCACCAAACACAAAACAGCGTTGTTGACACACGTTTGCGTGGACAGTGTATTATCAGTGTCACTGCTAACGTGTGGTTACGTGTCCCCACCGGTGAGGTCCCATCTTCATGGAGAGCCAGGCCTGGACGATGCCGAGCAGAGTGAGAGCTGCCAGAGCACAGAAACAGTTGACCTGGATCAGCTCCCAGATCAGACCCGTGCACAGAATGCACTGCAGAGGGGTGATCCAGATGAAGTGGGCCAGACCCAGACTCTGGAACACAGAGAACATGAAGATGACACAAGGACACGCTAATATGACTTCTGTGGCCAGGTTCATCCCAAGAAAACATCAAAAAACACCTTGGAACCTGTGGAAGGACATAAAGCTGCTCAATTAACCAACTTAGTCCAAGATAACGAAACAAAAAGAACCAAGAAAACGTGTTTTAGATGTAAATTGGAAAAACATGAGGGTTAAACAATGTTAAACATGTCCTTTAACAGGCACCACGAGTGGATGGACAACATTTAGGCACCCCGAGGTGTGTTTAACATGTTTAATTTATTACATTTACAAATCAGAAGACGTTCAGTTCTTTGTAGGATTTTATTTTGCATCAAGCCTAATTATTTGAAACAAACACCGTACTGTGTGTAGTGTTACTCCCTTACTAACTACTCAACAGGAGACGAGGTTAAACGTTGCAGGGAACAAACAGAAGTTTGTCGAAGAATCTACTTTCATCAACACGGTTCTGTTGGATCTCACCTGAACTACAGATGCAACACTCAGCTTTCACTTCACTCCATTCGCTTGCCCTACACCTACACAATAAAGCCCCGCCCCCTTTGTGTTGGCCAGTCCTGATGCACAGCTGGTGATAATTGTCCCAAAGCAAGCAGCAGAGTGTTTCCACATTCGACACCTCGGTGAGACCATCACAGTTCTGCCCACATTCATGGCCTCCAGCTGCATCTATCACGGCCTCACGGTAGTTTTCAGTTTGGTAACTTTCTGCTGATCAACCAAAGCCCGATTGTTTTTGTAGTTTTGTCTTCTGTTTGTCCCACAGAGCAGAACAAGATGCCACAACTGTCCTGAAGCAATCTCTTGACGATCACAATGACTGTCCGTCGACAAACTACAATACAGCAATCTACAGTAATGGCCTGAACAAGAAAATGACTTTGACCTTGATTTGTGACCTTGACCTTATGGCTGGAGTGACATGCTGTCTATATAGCTTTGTCCGTCCATCCATCATCTTCCTCTTGACTCAGGTCTCGGGGCAGCATCTTGAGCAGGGAGGTCCAGACATCTCTCTCCACAGCCTCTTCCAGTTCTTCTGGGAGGACTCCAAGGTGTTCCCAGACCAAACGAGACACAGAGTCTCTCCAGCGTGTCCTGGGTATTCCTTGGGGTCTCCTCTGTCAGACATGCAAGAAGCACCTCCATAGGGAGGCACCCAGGGAGCATCCTTACCAGATGAACCATCTCAACTGGCTCCTCTGGATGCGGAGGAGCAGTGGTTCTACTCTGAGTCTCTCCTGATAGCTGAACTTCTCCCCCTGTCTCTGAGGAAGAGTCCAGCTCCTGCAGAGGAAACTCATTTCAACCTCCTGGATCCACGATCTCATTCTTTCAGTCTCTACCAGAGTTCATGACCAGAGGTGAGGGGAGGAACGTAGACTGACCAGTAAACAGAGAGCTTTGTCTTACAGCTCAGCTCCCTCTTCACCACAACAGACCGGCACAGAGTCCACAATACTGCAGACACTGCACCAATCCATCTGTCAATCTCTCGCTCCATTCTCCCCTCATCCATGAACAAAACCCTGAGATACAAACTCCTCCACTTGAGGCAGAACCTCACCCTCGACCTGAACAGAACAATCCACCCTTTTCCAACTGAGGACCACGGCCTCAGATTTGGAGGTGCTGGTTCTCATCCCAGCTGCTTCACGCTTGGATGTGAACCGTTCCAGTGAGAGCTGAAGATCACGGCACTATGACTCCAACAGGACCACATCATCTGCGAAGAGCAGAGATGAATCCTGAGGCCACTGAACCGGACTCCCTCCACCCCCTGGCTGCATCAAGAAGTTCTGTCCATAAAAGTTATGAACAGAATCAGTGACAACGGGCAGCTCTGGAGGGGTCCAACTCCCACCCTGAAGGGGTCCAACTCCCACCCTGGAGGGCTCCAACTCCCACCTTGGAGGGGTCCAACTCCCACCCTGGAGGGGTCCAACTCCCACCCTGGAGGAGTCCAAGTTCCACCCTGGAGGGGTCCAACTCCCACCCTGGAGGGGTCCAACTCCCACCTTGGAGGGGTCCAACTCCCACCCTGGAGGAGTCCAACTCCCACCCTGGAGGGGTCCAAGTTCCACCCTGGAGGGGTCCAACTCCCACCCTGGAGGGGTCCAACTCCCACCCTGGAGGGGTCCAACTCCCACCTTGGAGGGGTCCAACTCCCACCCTGGAGGAGTCCAACTCCCACCCTGGAGGAGTCCAACTCCCACCCTGGAGGAGTCCAAGTTCCACTCTGGAGGGGTCCAACTCCCACCCTGGAGGAGTCCAAGTTCCACCCTGGAGGGGTCCAACTCCCACCCTGGAGGAGTCCAACTCCCACCCTGGAGGAGTCCAACTCCCACCCTGGAGGGGTCCAACTCCCACCCTGGAGGAGTCCAAGTTCCACCCTGGAGGAGTCCAAGTTCCACCCTGGAGGGGTCCAACTCTCACCCTGAAGGGGTCCAACTCCCACCCTGGAGGGCTCCAACTCCCACCTTGGAGGGGTCCAACTCCCACCCTGGAGGAGTCCAAGTTCCACCCTGGAGGGGTCCAACTCCCACCCTGGAGGGGTCCAACTCCCACCCTGGAGGAGTCCAACTCCCACCCTGGAGGAGTCCAACTCCCACCCTGGAGGGGTCCAACTCCCACCCTGGAGGGTCCGACTTGATGTCAACAATGCAAACCAAACTCTCGCACCGCTTGTATATGGACCGAACGGCCTGTAACAACGGGCCCCCAATCCATACTCACAGAGCACTCGTGATAGTTGCTTCAAGTTTTGTTATAATAATTTTTACTATCTTAAGCAGATCAGAAGTTACGGGCAGGACAAGATAAAGAATCATTTTCTTTCACCTCATCAAGCTTGTTGAGGTGGGCGGACATCAGGCTGACGAGCTGACCGGTGCTGATCTTGTCCAAGACTCGGCTGGACAGCTTCAGGGTCTGAAAGATCCAAAGTCAGGGTCAGCTCGCAGTAGATTTAAGTCTGTTTGATCACCTTGTGCAAAAACACCAGTTCCATGCTATTACACAACTAAAACAAACTTTAAAACATGATTTACTTGTTTTTATTTAAAATCAGGAATCCAAATACTGTTACTACTGCATTAAACATTGCTTATAATGATTATATTATAGGTATAATCATATTATATTACAAATATATGAATTTTAATGCATAGCTATAAATATGGAGACTGTGCGGACACAAGAGAACATGGTGACAGTCACTCTGTTTAAAATCAATGTTTCAAATTTTTCTTGCACTCGAGACAGATTTTAAAAGCCATCTTAAAACCTTACAATCCGTGGTGACTACAGATTGCGGGGATTTTAAAACTGTGCATTGGGACATTTCAAAATAAAGGTTTTCCATTAGATATTTGTGCTACAAAACTGTCAACTTGTTTAATTCGTAAAAATTAATTATTCCAGTGGAGAATCGTGACTATAAGAGCTAGACCTTCAGTTAGGACATATTATTCTAGAAATCCACTAAATGCTAACATCGAAATGCTACGGAGTCGCTGCCCAATCCATCACTTCCCTTTTAGTTTCACAAACCAGGAAGTCACGGAACAGGAAGTGTCTTCCCCTTTTTATACACCAGGAACAACTTCTTACTTATGGTGACATTTTTTACAGAACCCAGCAACAATCTGAAAATAAATACAAAACTTTACACTAAACCCAACATTACCCAGAAGGCCCTGCAGCTCATTCAGTTTCTAGAATTCAAGTACAACATGTAAGTTCAATAATTCTGACTAAAATTTAACAGTAACCCACAGAACGTACCACTTCTGTAAAAGTTCATCATGTAATGAAACAAAACTCACCTTAAATGTTGAAAATTATTTGATATTAACCTTCATTATTTTAGAGCAACTATAATTTCTGTGTTGGTTTTTGAATTTACAAGTTGCATTTAAATGCATCACAAATCTTCATGTGGATGAAAAACAAAGTAAGCAGGGCCTTCCTGAAGGCTCAGAACCCTATATGTTGGCCCCACCCACTCTACATCAAGTCTGTGATTGGCTAATTTTCTTGTCAGTTATTAAAGAAACTCGTCACCAAAGTCCATGCTCGATAATCCAACAATGTTCAGTCAGGTCATCTGGATACAAACATACACCTGCAACAAACTCCTGCAGAGCCTCTGACCGAGCTCCGCCTTCTCTCCCGACACTGAAGTCCTAACCAATGAGACAGAACCTTCATACACATTCCTGCCTGGACGCAAAACTTAAAAGAATCTGACTGGACGTCTGAGTTTCGTGTCTTGCTCAACAGCAAAGTAGTTTACAGAAAATAAGCAATATTTAGTGAAAAATAAAGAAAAACTACATTGAAAAATTATAACTTATTAACTATCAAATACAATTTTTAATGTAACGTTTTGAATTTTTGAGGCTGTCTCTGAAGGCGTAGAAGGCCCTGGGGGTTCCCTCTGATTTTTACATGATGATGTGTTTTAAACACTGAATGTAATGGAAAAAGCAAAAATCAGCTTCTGCTTGGGCCGGTTGTCTTTCACACCTTCTTGTAAATGAGACTGAAGAGAGCAATGCGAATCTGCATGCCCAGGTGATGCAGGCCGAAGATGGCGGGCTGCAACAGGATTAAGCGAGCGGTGAAGAGGAGGCCGAGGCCCAGGGCCAGGTAGTATCCCTGACTCCGTTCGGGAGCATGGAAAGGGTCGAAGGAAGCGATGATGCGACCTGAAAGCTGAGGCTGCACAGCCTTGGATGCTTCCTGCAAAGAGAAGAGCAGACGAGAGATTAAATTTTATACGAAACTCCATCCAAGCCAACCCAGTTTGGAGCCTTTAGACATGTTCACTGAACAGATCTGCTGCCAATCACACATCCGCAGCAGCACTGCGTTTAGTTTGGACTTCCTGCCAGAGGTTACTGATGGATCCAGTATGTGGCCCCTGTTGTATCTTTAAAATTAAAGTGCCAGGTTTATTGTCCAAGACACCGGTTTTATAAGTTACACATTAATTTTAAACAAATTTCACTTTTGGATACTAATATTTTATGAGTATCAGCAAACGGGTGCAGCCAGATTGCTGAATAATTATTAGCTAACAAATTAATTATTTAACTTTTTTCTTTCTAACACAAGAATAAAAACCAGAATGGCACAGCAAACCATTCATTCATTCATTCATTCATTCATTCATTCATTCATTTTCATCCAATTTCAGTCAGATACTGATGTTGTGTGTTTAATGTAAAAACCATAAAGACCCTCTGCTGGCCTGGCCTCCACTCAGACCTTTCTCTGAAGCGTAGTCTTTATTGTCGTCTTTACATCTCAGCTAACGAGCATTCTTGTTGTCTAGACGACCGACTCCAGCTGAGGGATCAGCTGCTGCTCCTGTGAGTCTGAGACACGTCGGTGCTACATGTTCATGCTGTTCAGATGTCTTTAAAACAGATCTTTATGAGCATTCTCCTGTAAGACAACATCCTTGTTGGAGTCAGTCTCCCCACCATCACAGACATCTACACCTCCAGATGCAGGAAGAGGACCACCTGCATCATGAAGGACCACACTCACCCAGCACACACACTTTTTGCCCCACTCCCCTCAGGAAGAAGGTTGAGGAGCATTAAGTGTAGAACCACTAGACTGAGGAACAGCTTCTACCCTGAGGCTGTTAGACTCATGAATCTCTAACCAGAAGAATCACTGTAATGCCACTTTGATTGTTCATATGTGCTGCTGATTATCCATGCTGCTGATCTCATGCTGCTGATTTATTTCTAGCTGCTGTGTTCATTTGTACTCATCTGCTCACACAGACTCATGTTCGTGCTGCTGTTGTTTGGTGCATTGTTTTTTTCATTATTAGTGTTTAGCATATTCTTAGTTCATATCTTGATCTTATTACTGTTTTTCTTTTCAGAATCAGAATCAACTTTTATTTTCACTGCATAGAAGCACAATGAAGTTACATTTTAGTACAGCCGTCGAAAGAAAACAAACATGGGTAGACGGGGATGCTTGAGGCTGCATCCTCATGGGAAGCGCTGCCCTTTTCATTTAGATAAGGAAAAGGGAAAACATGAGGAAAGAGGATTCAAAAAGCGTACAATACAATACGTTCATCATGTCCTGGATGACTGAGAATCTTCACTGAGGAAAGAGGAGGTTGCAAAAAGCCCCAGCACAAGAAAAAGCAACATTCTGGTGACAAAAAGACATATGTCTTTAAATGTTTCTAAACACTCTAAAAGAACACAGAATGTCATGATTTCAGCTCCCTGCCTCCTCTCTGCCATGGCTGCACTTTAGCTCTTGGCCACACCCATTCTCCGCAGCAGAACGGAGATCACAGTGGAGGAAGGAGGAGCTGCAGGAGGACGTTTCTCCTGCAGTGTGGACTGCACAAAGGTGCAGCAGGTGCTAAATATCCATCCATCATCTTTTACCCGCTTCTTCCATTTTGGGTCACAGGGGTCTCCGGTGCCCATGTCCAGCAGTCACTGTGCGAGGGGTGGGGGACACCCTGGACATGTCTCCAGTCCATCACAGGGACACCCTGGACAGGTCTCCAGTCCATCACAGGG